TGGTTGATGCTGTGCGAAAATCCACATGGCTGCTGGGTATCCTGTGGCCTAAATTTGCGGTCGGCCGAGGGGTGGGAAGGGGGTTCTGCTTCCCGGGGTGGTGTGGTACCCGCTCTGAATTGTAACGACTTGCTTGGCTTCTCTTTGCTCGATGTATGTGGCAGGTATTGAATTTCCTGATTGCAAAGGTGTCTCTTCTTGTTATTTATGTGTTCCTAAGGAGGGCGCAGAAACTGGTACCGTACTTCCAGCGTAGTGTTGTATTTTCTGCAAAAATTTGTATAGAAGTGATTAACCTTGGTAGAATTTTTTCCCCAAATGGCAGTAATAGCTCTGCTGGTTTTATTCTGCTTTCCTGAGGCTTCTTTAAAATTTCATAACACCGCTGAGTGTGTCCAGGTCACTTTGGTAGGGGAGAGTAGAGAGAAAAAATCTGAACTTCAGAGGTGTAAAATAACTGTACACCTGTGGTGACCGTTATCCTGGCTAATTTAAGCCTCACCAGCCCTTCCTCAGACAACCTGAGCAGCCCGTACAACTGTTTGTGCATCTCGTTTGGTTTCCGCATAAGAGGGTGCCTGGCGAACTGCTGCTCTGTTGTGTTCAGTGGGGTGAAGCTGGGTGCACTGAATTGAAACACCCTGATCTGGGCTCCCTCTGCTCTTCCTCCCCTGGCCGGCGAGGCAGTGGAAGGGGCTGCTGCACTTGGCAGACGTTACTGGCACAGGGGATGGGGTGGGACACCTTGGTGGGGCCACTTTGGAGTGCTGTGGGCAATGCCACCGGGCATCCTTTGTACCCTCCTTTCCTGCCTCAGGGTCCCACATCCCCCCGAGGCCAGCCTATAAGCTGATGGAGCCGAGGAACACGGGGCTGGGAGCGTGATACAGGCACGGGCAGACACCTGCTCCGTGGTCCGTCTCTGTTCATCTTGTTGGCACACAGGCGCGGTGTGAAGTGCCCCTTTTTGCCACTCCTGATCTGTGGGAGGCTCTGGAAGACTTCACAAAACTGGGCACATACATGTCCCTATAGGTATACACCTGTAGTAGGTATATGTGTGTATCACTACTGCAGTTCTTTGGAAGCAAATGCCCCCTGGGGCCTCACTTGCCCCAGCTGTGCGCTGCCTGGGGCTGATAGCTGCAGGCAGAAAGTGAGAGTGAGCTGGGGGAGAAGTGAAAGCCACAAGCCGTTTCCATTGTCCAAAGGTAGGTGATATGCAAAGCACAAGGAGTGAAAGTGAACCAGACCAGCAGAAATCACGTTATTAAAATGAAGGTGAGGCTTATGCCCTTTGGGACGCTTGCTGTAAAGGGGAAAGTTTTGAGGACCTTAACACCAGCCCGACATGACTGTTCACTCAAGAGCTGGAGACTTCACGTGTCCGGGCAGTTCCCATTCAAGAAAAACTGTGTTCGTTCCTCCAGAGAGTCACCGAGACACTTATTTATTAGTTAGTTATTCCTGCAAAATATTCTTGTGCTTTGTGCTGAACATTCATTCTTAGAGGAAAGCCATTAAGAATATGCAGAGGGTTATAATTAGTGGTTATTTCTGTAAGGCTTGTGAGTGGCATCCCTGCAGAAGAACAGACGCTGATTTGGTGCTGGAGGGGCTGCGAGCCCCAGCTCAGCTCTTGGCAGAGATGCCGGTCCGTTCCTCTTTTGCAGGAGGTGAAGCTGCTTCCGCAGGGCTCCATGAAGCCCCTCTCTGAAGCTGTGGGGATGCTTGTGGTCCCTGTGACGTGGCTCTGACCCAAGGTGTTTCTCTATCTCGTTGGAAAGGATGCCGACTCCTCTGAGAGGGTCCTCATGGACATGCGCTGGGGCCTGGTTCCCTCCTGGTTCAAAAAGGATGACCCCTCCAAAATGCAGTTTAATACCTCCAACTGCCGCAGTGATACCATGCTGAAGAAGTCCTCCTACAAGGTGAGTGGCTGTTGTCTTTGTGTCTAGCTTGAAAGGATCTTGTAGTCGGCAAAACCAGAGCTGAAGCATCTCCCTAGCAAGTACCAGTCACCGTTTGCCTGCTGCACAGGGGAGTGAGTCCCTGTACCGCAGAGCTGGCCGATTTCGTTAAAATAGAACAACTGAAACGGTTGTTGCTGGTGAAGCTCATCTTTCATCACGGTGCTGGTGGTGACATTTGTGCACCCCATGGGGCAGTTTGGGGGAGCCCCAAGAGGGACCGAGTGGGCTGGGTAGTCCCAGAATCCCCCGTCCTCCCTCGCAGGTTGCCTGAGGCTGCTGTTCACCACTCACCTGTGCTTTCTCTCCCCAGGGTGCTCTCCTCAAGGGCAAACGCTGCGTGGTCCTGGCGGATGGCTTCTACGAGTGGCAGCGGACCCACGGGGGGACCCAGCCGTATTTCATTTACTTCCCCCAGACCAAGGATGCCGTGGTATGGAGTGCCTCGCCGTGTCTGAATGCTCACACCCATCTCTGAGCCCCTGCTCCCTCCAGCTGCCCTGGGAAAAGCCTCCCTCCCTCCAGCTGTGCCCACCTCTGGGAGTCTCTGTTTCCCAATGGGGCTCTGCTCGGCAGTGGGTTCAGCACTCTGGCATCCCTCTGTGGCCAGCAGTCCCTGCCGCTGCGGTCCCCTGGCTCTAAATGGTGCTGCAGCGTCCCCACCGTCACGCTTGCTGCTCCCCACGTGCCAAATATTTGCATGGGTGGGGAACGTGTCTCACAGGGGACTGGGCTGGGAGTTTCACTACCATTTTCCTTTGGCTGAGCCAGCGTCTGGATGTTCAGAAGGGGAGGAGGGTGCTAGCTTGCCTGTGGGAAGATGAGGCTGCTGGTACCTCTCCTGGAGTTACCCCAGATTAGTACAAGGGTTCCTGGAAAGCCCTCAAATTAGTGCAGTTCGTGACTTAGATCTGAGTCGTTGACCTGCCATGGCAGTGGCAAGTCTGCGATGCTTCGGCTGCCCATGGGTCAGCACTGACTGGGGCGTTGGGGCCTCTCTCCTGCAGGCCGAGGGGAAGGAGGGAGATGAGGAATGGAGAGGATGGAGATTGCTCACCATGGCTGGGATTTTTGACTGCTGGGAGCCGCCAGCAGGAGGAGAAATGCTGTACACTTACACCATCATCACCGTGGATGCCTCCAAGGACGTGAGCTTCATCCATCACAGGCAAGTGAGAGCCGGCAAGGGGGCTGCAGGGCAGGGGGGAGCAGGGGTGGGGAAGGAGGAAAGCTGCACCTTCAAACACCAGTCTGGCAGCACGCAGGCAGGGAGTCCTACCTCCTCCGGATGCCCTCAGAGAAAAATGCTACATTACCAGCTTGTTTCGGGTCACCAGCTCATGCCCTTTCCATAAATCACCATCTTTGTGCCCCAGCGGGTGGCAATCGGATCACTCTCTGCCTGACTGGGGCCTGGCAGTCAACCCCTCTGTCTCTTCCAGCAAAGCAGCTACCTGTGTAAAGTGACTGTGCGCTCTGCCTTGCGGAAGAGCATCCTGCTGCTTTGGTTTTCCCCCTGTTTCCCCCTGAGCTGCCAGCTCCCTGCTAGCTTACAGGCCTGGTTTTTGCCACCTGGCTCAGCCTTATTGGCACTGGGCTTTGGCTCCAACCGTCTTGTCCCCTAGGATGCCAGCCATCCTGGACGGGGATGAGGCCATCAGGAAATGGCTGGACTTTGCTGAAGTGCCAACCCAAGAGGCAGTTAAACTCATCCAGCCCACAGAGAACATCGTTTTCCACCCAGTGTCCACCTTTGTCAACAGTGTTCGCAACAACGCGCCCGAGTGCCTTGCACCCATCGAACTGGGAACCAAAAAGGTGAGTGTTGGTGGGGGCTTGGCAGGGGAGAGCTTGGCCACGGTGCTCAGGGACGGTGCTGCCAGGCTGCAGGAGGGGCAGCAGCAGGCAGCATCTGCAGGGCATGCCTGTGCTTGATGCTGGAGTGCAGAGCCCCGAACAGATTCCCTTCCCTCCGCTTCCAGAAATAAACTATCACCCAATGCCAGGATTTCTCTGCCAAATGAGGCAAATTCCATGTGAAATGGGACTTGGAACAAGCCTGTTCCCAGCAGCCGGGGGAACCTCCTGCAGATGTGCCTGGTTGCAGGCAGGGCCACTGCTTTGGCGTCCTGCTCTGGACCGGCTCTTGCAGTCGGCTGCCTGCCCTGCTGTCACCGTGCTTCTGACTTCTCTCATAACTGTCTTTTGTCTCTGCAGGAGGTCAAAGCCACCCCAAGCAGCAAAGTGATGCTGGGCTGGTTAAAAAACTCCCAGGAGGGCTCTCCCCAGAAGAAAGAAATTGATTTGCCCAGGTGGACAAGTCAGTTCATCCACAGCCCTTCACCCAAGAAAACCAGCGCAGATATCCTGCAGCAGTGGCTGGGGGAGGAGGGAGAGCCAGCTGCGAAGAAACGCAAGGCTTAGGCACCAGCTGGGATGGCTGGCCATCCTTTTTCCTCCTCATTTTCCTAAGCAGAATGAGGAATGGTTTTTTGGAAGGCTTTGCAGACTGGTGTTGAGATTCTCCAAGTCTCTCAGGTGTTGATCGAACACTCTAGGTTGTTGTCTCTCGTCTTCATGTTTTGTTAAAGGTTGGTGTTTGTCTTTAAAGGTTTTGGCTTTGTCTTGAGCTGACAAGAGTGAATATAACCTTCTGGCCTCCCTCCCTGCCAGCCACTCGTGCCAAGCAAAGATAAAGCCCCGAGAAGCATCTCAGCCTGCCAGGGAGGAGTAGCTTCTGCCTTCTGACAGTGTCCATAGTTCATGTCTCCTTTGGTTTTCTTTTCCCTTTTTTTTGTTATTAAACTGATACCTCTTTTTCATTTAATTCCATATTGATTCTGTACAAATTCCTTTCTAATACTCTCGCCCTCAAAAGATGGCTGCAGTACAGAGGAACATGCAATAAATAGGAGGAGGAAACGCCAGGCTGGGAAGATCTGCCAGAGTCAGCCCGCTCTGCACCAGCGTTGCTGTGTGCATTTGTGGAGATGTTCAAGCAGCACCGGGGAGGAACTGGATTTTGCCTGGGTTTCCCTGCAGGCAGCGGGGTGGGACAGCGTGTCTTGGTCACGTTGTTTGTACAATCATTTTGTTAATGGGATTTGAAGACTTAGAGAGGATTTTCTTGATCTGTGGAGGGATGTGCTCTGCCTTGTTCATAAAGGTCATTCGTTAAAGCCCAGATAACCAAAGTGCCGTTACAGAACAGCATAAGGCAGTTGTTTTTGAGGTCAGGGATTTTGTAAACAGAGCCAGATGTTACAGAACAAAAGCCTTACACGGTGGGACCCTTGCTGGAAAGCAGTACTTCATTTATATTGGAAACAATAAAATGGAGTTAACTGGTTGACTGTGTGGTGCCCTTGTCGGTGTGCATGTCTGCGTCCCCCTTGTCTACCACAGCCCCATTGCTCCTGTTTCGCAGGCAGAGCTCATCTCTCCTCTCCATCTGCTGAAGGTGAGACCAGCTACCGCTGCTGAGCTCTCAGGGTACCAGCAGGACCATGTTGCTGAAGCATTTCCATTTGCCAGTGGAAAATATTCCCCGGGGATTTACTTTGGGGCTCCTCTTGAATGATCTCTCCTCTGGGGAGCTGCAGGGTGCGGTAGCCAGGGCTTGTCCCTGGGGACGGACAGCGGAGCCAGGGCAGGAGCTAGAGGATGGGCACCTGGGGAGACCTGAGCACTCTCAGATTTGGCTCTGTCTCTGAATCCCTCGTGTGCCATGGGGGTGGCTGAGCCCAGAAGGTCTCCTGGCTTATGGGAAGCTGGGCTGGGATTAGGATTTCCAGCCAGAAAGCCTGTTGCTAGCTGGCTCCTCATCGCTCCCACAGTGACTTGAGGTAAGAGAGTCGCTGCATTAGCAGCTCTTGGCAGAATAAATAGGTCTTCAGGCGCAGGGGCTGTCACCTCACTGCTTGTCCTTGCAGAAGCCATAAGGGAGGTTTCTCTCCCTGCCCAGCCATCGTTCCTCCAGGGTGAGCAACTCAGCTGCCCCAGCCCGGTCGGTACTAACTGCAGATCAGGCTTTTCCAAAGGTCATTGGCTCATCTCAAATTCATTTCAGGTCTCCAGTTGCTGTGGAGGGAGTGAAGATGCTGAGCACAAGTGTGGAACGCTCACCTTTCCCTGCTCTGGGGAACATAATCCTTCCCTTGGGGAGGCAGGGGTGATGCAGAGACGCAGGGTACACATTATCTCCCTCTAGGCTGTGAGCACCAGCAGCATCATTACCAAAAAAAAAAAAAACCTACACTGAGGGTTTAATGAGGAGTGTTATTGCTGAACTACACCACCTTTAAACCGGAGCCTGGCTGCTCGCCCAATGTGGGTTGCTGTGGTTGCTCCGACCCGGCGAGGAGGTGACCACACTCAACCTGATGTGACCTGGCCCAAAAACTGGCTTGGGAGCAGCTTTCCCCTTTGATGCGTGATACTCTGGCAGGGACGGCAGTGCTCGCTGTGGGTGGGGGGGATGCTCCGGGCAGGGAGCCCCGGTGGGATGCCACTATCGAGGGGTTCTCCC